GAGAGGGTTTCAAGAGGTCTCCTTGCTTGGCAAGTCAACTTGGAAAGTCAAAACAGGTTAGGCGGTTAGGCATCCTTAGACAAAGAGCTCCCAAGCTAAAAGGGCCCGCAATCCCCAAACCCCATGCTTATGGCCACTGGGTGTTTTTTTTCAGCACTGCTCATAGGGATTTTGCTATTGGTCATGTGAAGCTTCATCTTATTTGATGTGTTTGGGCTTGGAAAGACTTTAGTTGTTGATTCTTGGATTATGTATTGAATCTGGAACAATTTATGTGGCTCTAAGGGTCAGTTGAACAGGTCTTCCGTGGTTCCGAAATAGAATATACACTGTTTTCCTTTGCTTCTGAGATTTCTTCTGTGGAATTGCAATTCAGATTCATTGTTGGTTTTTGATTTGATTCTGGACCAGTACTTTTGCTAAGGCAGCAGGCTTATAATCTGGTTCCCAATTGTTTACAACATACTAGGCCTATAATTGTCACAATTTGGACTTGGACCTGCAATTTTTCGACTTTGGAATTCTGATTTATCCCATTTTTTTGTCCAAATTTTGTTCATGGCTGACCATAAACAACAATCTTATTTTCGGGCTGGTTCCTGTGGTGGTGGCCATCCTAGTGGACAACATGACAGGAAGTGTAAATCATTGTAGCCTTATGTTTCAGGACATGTAGCTTCTGATTTTGGTTCTCATGATGCAGTTATTACACAACTTAGCAAGCTTATTCAGACTTTGCAAACTACTCGTTCACCCACTTCCACTGCTACCTTGGCTAATTCAGGTAATATTGCATGTAAGGCTAAATCCACTCCATCCTGGGTCATTGACCCTGGAGATAGCTCACATATGTCGGGTACATCATCTCTTTCCTCTAATTTAAATCCTATTAATCATCACATTGTTTTAGCTAACGGTTCTTCTCAACCTGTCCTTGCAAAAGGTGTCCTTCACCCTTCCGATTCGTTATCACCATCTTCAAGTCTCCATGTTCCTTCCTTTTAATTTACTTTTTGTCAGTCAATTGACTAAAACATTAAACTGTTCCATAACTTTTTCTCCCACTTCATGTGTCTTTCAAGACCTTAGGACAAAGAAGGTGATTGGTTTAGGACATGAGAAAGATGGGTTATATTATCTTGACTCTAGTAAACCCCAGCCTGTCTTGTCATCAGCTTTGAGTGCTACAGTCTCTCCTCTTCAATGGCACTTTCGTTTGGGTCATCCATCTTTAGCAAAGTTACGATTAGCTATTCCTACGTTGAGTCGGTCATATCTCTGTTCTAGAGTGTGAAGCTTGTAAGTTGGGTAAGCATCATCGTAGTTCTTTCCCGAGTCGTAGTCATAGACGTGAGGCCGAGTCCTTTGACTTAGTCCACACATACATCTGGGGTCCTTCTAGAACCACCAATTTGAATGGATTCCTTTATTTTGTTATCTTCATTGATGATTATTCTCGAATGACATGATTATTTTTTATAAAAGAGAGATCTGAGTTACCTCGTATTGTTGCTAAATTTTACAATGAAATTCTTACTCAGTTTGGTAAGCGCATTAAAAAATTTCGATCTGATAATGCCTTAGAGTATACACAGTCTATCATGGATTCCTTTTGTGTTGATCGTGGTATCATTCATCAGACTAGTTGTGCTCACACTACTCAACAGAGAGGTATTGTTGAGCGAAAGCATCGCCACCTGTTGGATGTTGCTCGTACTTTGTTATTCAATATGCAAGTGCCAAAACATTTTTGGGTTCATGCCGTTCTTACTTCTTGTTATCTCATTAACCGTATGCCCTGTACTGTTGTGAATAACCAAACTCCTTTTTCTCTTTTATACCATAGTGTCTCTCCTTTTCAACTCACTCCTCATGTCTTTGGTTGTGTAGCCTTTGTTCATATCTTGGATCCTGGTTGAGACAAACTCTCTCTGCGTGCTCGTAAATGTGTTTTTCTTGGATATTTTCATACTCAAAAGGGGTACCGTTGCTATAGTCCTGAGTCTCGCTGATACTTTGTGAGTGCCAATATAACGTTTTTTTGAGTCCCATGCTTTCTTTTCATCATCTAGTGAGCGTTTGTTACTAGATCTCATATCTGCTCATGAGGGGGAGCCTTCCTTATCTTCTCCTATTCTTCCCATGCCATTGGATCCACCTTTTAATCCTCCTTTGCAGGTCTATCAGCGATCTCGATATCGTCCCATTGTTTCTTATAGTCTGGACACGATATATTCTCAACCAGAAGTTCTTGTTCCTCAATCTTCCACTTCTGCTACAGTTGATTTACCACTTGCGTCATCTTCTCAACCAGAGGTTCTAGTTCCTCCATCTTCCACTTATGCTACAGATGATTTACCACTTGCATCATCTTCCCAAGCAGAGGTTCTTGTTCATCCATCTTCCACTTCTGCTACAGATGATTTACCACTTGTGTTACGTTGAGGTAAACGTACTTGTTCTAAACATCCCATTGCTAATTTTGTGTCGTATAATCGTGTTTCCTCCTCCCTGCAGTCTTTTGCTTTTACTTTGTCTTCTATCTCTATTCCCTCGTCTTATCAACATTCTTTATCTACGTCTGAATGGAAACATGCTATGGATGAGCAAACGAATGCTCTTTATAAGAATCAGACTTGGGAGCTTACTGCTCTTCCTTCTGGGAAATGAACTGTTGGTTGTCATTGGGTTTAGACTGTGAAGTATCTTCCCGATGGTTCTGTTGAGTGTCTTAAGGCGCGTTTGATTGCCAAAGGGTATACGCAGACGTATGGAGTTGATTATTTAGAGACTTTTTCTCCTGTAGCCAGTCTTAATTCTATACGGGTTCTTCTTTCTGTGACAGTTTGTTGTTCTTGGCCTTTATATCAGCTTGATATAAACAATGCATTTCTTCATGGCGACCTTCAAGAAGAAGTTTACATGGATCAGCCTCCTGGTTATGTTGTTGCTGGTAGTGAGCACCTAGTATGTCGACTGCGAAAGGCTCTTTATGGTCTAAAGCAGTCCCCTCGTGCCTGGTTTGATGGATTCAGTGCTGCGGTGATTGAGTTTGGTTTCCAGCGCTCTACTTCAGATCATTTTGTATTTGTTCGCCGCACTTCTACTGGTACCATTGTCTTAATTGTTTATGTTAATGATATTATCATCTCTGAGTGATTCATTAGGCATTGCAGAACTGAAACGAAATTTAGGTCAACAATTTCATACTAAGGACTTGAGTTCTCTTCGCTATTCTCTTGGGATTGAAGTTAATCGTTCTTGTCAGGGCATCTCACTGTCTCAACTGAAATATGTTCTGGATCTTCTATCTGAGACCGGTTTTTTAGGTGCTCGACCTGTTGATACTCCTATGGACTCTATGGTCAAAATTGATGGTGAACAGGGAGAGTTGTTTGTTGATTCTGGACAATATCGACACTTGGTTGGAAAATTGATTTATCTTACTGTTACTCGTCCCGACATTACATATGATGTTGGTGTGGTTAGTCCGTATATGCATGCTCCTTGTCGACCTCATTTTGACGTTGTTTGTCACATTCTACGTTATTTGAAGGGTCCACCTGGAAATCACTGCTTGTATAAACCATCTTCCTCTTTATCTGTGATAGGGTTTAGTGATGCTGATTGGGCTGCCAATTGCCCTGATAGGATATCAACATCTGGCTATTGCACTTTTGTTGGTGGTAATCTTGTTACTTGGCGCAGTAAAAAGCAGTCTGTCGTTGCTAGTTCTAGTGTTGAAGCTAAGTATCCTGCTATGGCTCACACCACCTCTGAGATGTTGTGGGTCCGCTCGCTTCTTCAGGAGATGGGTATTGATGTTCCTACTCCTATGTCAACGCATTGTGACAATCAGGCCGCTATATTTATTGCTAGCAATCCTGTTTTTCACGAGCGCACCAAGCATATAGAGGTTGATTGTCATTTTATTCATGATCTTTTGATGCGGAAACAGATTACTACTCCCTATGTTTGCTGTAACGATCAGTTGGGTGATATTCTTACGAAGCCGTTAGCTTGTGGTGCTTTTCAGCGATTATGTTTCAAGCTGGGCATGTTTAATCTCTATGCTCCAGCTTAAGGGGGAGTGTCAGAGTTTATTTTGATTATTAAGGACATTATTGTAATTTTGCTTACTTAATATAAATAGGAGAGGTGGTGTGTAGAACCGTACACACACCAGATTCTCTCTTCTTTGTCTTCTTCTTCTTCTCCTCCTTCTCCTTCTCCTTCTCCTCTCTAACCCTAAAACACACTGTTATCCAATTTAACTGTTTCTTTATTGGAAGCTCAGTCACACAAAAGGACTACAAATGTTATCATCCAGAATCGAGAAAAGGTGAATGTAAGCATGGATGTCATTTTCCGTGAATCAAAGGCCCAATTTTCACACCTGACATCTCTTCAGGGGAAGGAATTTAGTACAATGGAAGAGATGGTTTCTGTATCATTGCCGTATATTCACTTTCTGTGACTCCAACAAATCCACTGAAAGGGAGCAAGTCACCACTGGTGGGGATAAAAGTACTTGTGGAAGATTGGATAAGTAGGATTTAAGGAGCAAAACACCATAACTTATGTGCCTCCACGTCAATCAGAATCCTTCCAGTTCCACTTGTGTCATCTCCATTGTCATTCTCCTCAACAGGTGTTGAATTCTCTGGTAATACCTCTGTTTAGCATTTAAAATTCACATCTTAAAATTTTCCATGCTTAAATTTTCAATTTTATCAAACAGCACCTAGTCTCAGGCCAACAGAACTCTCTTAGGCAGGCATCAGATAACACTTGCAGGGATTGAATAATACTTGGTTTACAAGGACAATAATGCTTGTGGAAGCCATCATATAATATATTAACTCAATATCAGAGCAACTCGCATGTGCTAAGGATTCCACAGCCCAATGTACAGAATCTATCACCTCAATACGAGAAGAATTGGAGCCACAAACATTTATTTGATGAATTAACAAGTATTGCATAATCAAATCACTTACAGTTCCTTCCAGCATTTTCAGTAAAGCCTGCTGAACACCCTCGCCAGACACATCTCTGCTGATGTTTAAGCTCTCAGCCTGCAGAAAAACTCAAAAAAGGAAATTTTTGGGACTGAAAATACATATACATTAATTCAGAAATAAATACGCTGGAAAAAAAGGTAGAACCTTCTTGGTTATCTTATCAACTTCATCAATGTAAACCATCCCCTGTTGAGCTGCTTGTACATTGAACTCAGCAACCTTCAAGCCAAATCCAAGGGCAGAGTTATTTGAGTTTACTGAATAATGAAAAGGTTTGAACATGGAAAAAATAAAAAGGTAGCATGGAACTGTAGAGACACAGATGTAAAAGTTTTAAATGACAAATTAAAATGCTAAAAGTACTAAAAAGTTATATTTTAAAACCAGTGACATGAGATGTGTAACTACCAACAAAAGCACTCTTTCGGCAAGGAGACATGATCAAGTAAACAAAAACAGTGTCTACACCGTTTGAAATAACAGATGCACATATGCGACTAATGAATCTACACAAAAGCAATGATGAAGGGTAAAAAATATAAAAATAAAATTATTGACTTCCCATTCAAGGAAAGCCACTGGAAATTTTCTATAAAGTAGGGAACAAGTTATGATGTAAAAAACTTATGAACATCAAGCCAAACAAGGCCAATACTAATACCTTCCTAATCAACCAACAAAAGTGCTATTTTGTTGGCCAGGATTGAGGCTTCTTCAATCATTTCAATGACAATTCACATTTATCAGCCCCCGGCCTGGAGCCTAGAAAGCCCATGAAACATCTAACACCCCGCCCCTCCCATCTTCTCTAATTAAATAACCCCCTGATCACTCCACCAAAGAAAAGCCAATGAAACTACAAATGTGATTCCAAATCTTTACAAGGGTAACAGAGATCAGATTTATACTCTCTTTTTTTAATCCAATTTTCTTCCTTTTTATTCATCAAAATACCTCAAGAATAATTACAGGCAAGTTCAACAAAGCCAATTTCCACCAGGAAAAGAGCCAACTCAAGACTATTTTATGAATGCAAGCAACTATTGACTAGCCTGATGTTTTTGTCTAACAGCCAATTCTAAGAGATGACACATAGGGGGCTGCTGGATTTCTCTGGAGACCATAACTGCATCAACTTCCTCCCATTAATGAGTCAACACTCAAATCAACTCAACAAAGCTTTCTCCCAGCTACTTGAAGTAAAGAGTCAACTCATACAGCATATATTTTGATACAGCTCTTAACCATGGCAAAACCACCCTAGGTATTCTGCTGCTAATAATTGCAATTATTTTTGACAGATTCACAGAAGCAAATTATGGAAACATACATGATTGATATTCTATGTGGGCAAGCTACATTAGCACTGTATTCAATATATATCCAAAATCAATGAGCCAGACTATATGTAAGCAGAAAAATTTACTAGAATTATAGTACTAAAATTCAAAGATGCCAGCTAGTTTAGCTGGTAAGGCATATTAAACCATGTATGCATGAGTTTAGGTCTCCTTAAGGAGCTTGAGTAACGTTTTCATCCCCATCCCGATTTATGTATCAAAAAGAAAAATTATATTACTAAAATCAACTCTAGAAAACTTTAACCCTTTAAATTACAGAAAGATTCATTTTACAATTTTGGTTTTGCCGAGATCTGTGCAAATCATTGAGAATATTTCCTTCTTTTTTCTGTTTCTTTGAGGGAGAGCATAATTTTTTTTGTCCAAACGCAAGAAATGTGCTAGGATATTATTAGAAACTCATGACTCAAATTTTTCAAGGCTGCAAATAAGCCAGGTCAAGCTTGGAACCTGACTATTTGAATGAAGATTGTTAAATTTGGGAAGTGCTCAAGCTCAAGTTAAGCCATAAGACCTCTGATCTGATCTTGGCTCAACAATCTCTTCGTTTTTTTTATAAGTAAAAATGTATTAAAGAGCGTTCAAAAGGGGAACGCATCCAAGTACAACAAGCCTAACAAGAGAAAAAATAAAAAAAAATAAAAACATAAAAACACAGAGAACATAAACAAGTGGATTAAGGACCCAAGGATCCTAATAGGTCAATCATGTCCTCCAAAGATGAACTCCTCCCCCACCCCCCCAAACATAAAAGATAGCTAATGATACGGTATTTTAACATTCCCACGGGAGATTCCTCCCCCTCAAAGGATCTACTATTACGTTCCTTCCGGATACACCACCAAACGCAAAGTGGTACCGCCCTTCAAAAATGAATAACGTGAGGACCTATACCACACCCTCTCCATGAGTCGATCAAACCTCTCGTAGACCGGGACATAACCCACTGTATACCAAACAGACCAAAGATGAGACTCCAACAGTCGTGAGCCACCTGACAATGTAAAAGGAGATGATTCACTAACTCTCCATCCCTCTTGCACATGCCACACCAATTGACCGCTACCTATCTTCTCCTTCTAAGATTGTCAAGGGTAAGAATCTTGCCCCAAACGGCAGTCCATACAAAGAATGCCACCCTCAGGGGAGCCTTCGAGCATCAAACCGTCTTCCAAGGAAAATGAGCCCCAGAGAAGCTTGAGAGGCAATGAAAGAAAGAGCGGACCTCAAATCTCTAAATAAGGGAATTTGGGCCTCCCCCATCAATCGTCTGTCTATACAGCAATTCCAACAAGTCCGCAATATCCTCCAACTCCCAGTCCTGAAACTGTCGCTGAAAACGCACATCCCAGGTGATCCTCCTGCTATCAAGACGATAACAGTCGGCCACCCAAGCAAGTCTGTCACCAGCAATCCTGAATAGTCTAGGAAACAAAGAAGCCAGCGCACATTCACCACACCATATATCCTCCCATAGCCTAGTGTCCCTGTTGTCTCGAACTCTGAATCTGATATGCTTGGAAAATTCATCCCATCCCTTCCGGATAAACTTCCAAACACCAACCAGTGGATAATCTAACCACCCTGGAGCCCCACCCTCCACTGTCCTCCCCAAAGCGACATGAAATGACCCTCCTCCATAACCGATGGCGGTCACCTCCAAATCTCCACAACCACTTCCCTAAAAGAGCAAAAGGGCTCCTGATACCCAAGCCACCCAACTGAATAGGCCTGCAAACCTGCTCCCACCATACAAGATGATATTTAAACTCATCCCCAAAACCACCCCAAAGGAAATTCCTCTGGATCTTCTCAATCCTTTCGGCCACAGAGACTGGAATCTGAAAAAGTGAGAAAATATGTAGGAAGACTTGATAAAGTGCTTTTCATAAGAGTGACCTTTCCCCCTTTAGACAAATACTGCTTCTTCCACCTAGCAAGCCTCTTCTCAAACCTGTCAATCACAGGGTCCCAATCCCCCACCCTTGTCGACGGCGAACCCAAGGGCAAACCCAAGTAAGAGATGGGGAAAGACGAGACCCCACACCCTAGAGTTGTTGCAAGATTGGTAATGTCCTGCACGTCCCCCACCGGGACTAAGGTGCTCTTCCCCGCATTCACTTTTAGGCCAGAGACAGCCTAAAAGGAAACCAAAACACACCTCAGATATCTCACCTGCAACACATCCAAATCACAAAACACCAAAGTATCATCCGCAAAAAGTAGGCGGGAGATTTCAAGCTGCTGTTCCAAATCTCTCCCCACCCTGAAGCCCCTAATGAACCCCAACTCCACAGCCCTCCTCAGCAGCCTGCTAAGAGCCTCCATAACAATGATAAACATAAAAGGCGAGAGAGGGTCACCCTATCTCAATTCCCGAGAGCTACCAAAAAAACCAGACGGAATCCCGTTCACCAAAACCAAGAACCTCACAGACAAAATACAAAACTCAATCCACCTCTTCCATTTCTCCCCGAAACCCAACCTCTCCAACATATAGAGCAAAAAACTCCAACTGACATGATCGTAGGCTTTCTCAACATCAAGCTTACAAAGAACTAGAATGCCACTACGCAATCTAGCATCCACAAACTCACTGGCAATAGGAGAAGAATCCAGTATTTGTCGGCCACCAATAAAAGCATTCTGGGATTCTGAAATAACTCCATCCAAAACATCCCTTAATCTCGAGGCAAGGACTTTAGCTATAAGTTTGTACATACAACCTACCAAACTAATCGGTCTAAAATCCTTTACGTCAGATGCCCCACCCTTCTTGGGAATAAGAGCGATGAAAGCTGTATTCAATGATTTCTCAAATCTCCCATTAGAATGGAAGTCCTGGAATGTCCCCATCACCTCTCCCCTTACCATACCCCAACTTGCCAACAATTCTCATAGTAAAGCCATCCAGTCCTGGGGCTTTGTCACCATTGCAGCTTTTGAGTGCTAACAAAACTTCCTCTTCAGTAAATGGAATCTCCAAGGCATCTCTATACATATCAGAAATCATATCGAAGTGTAAACCTCCAAGCCTAGGTCTCCTTTTGTTTGTCTCAGTGTACAATCGCTGATAATATGAGGCAATCCCCTACACACCTCATCCTCCCTACATAACTCCACCCCATCCACACAAATCCTCCCAATGTGGTAGTGGTTGCCCCGCTTATGGGCATTAACCAGCTTATAACATGGTTCAGCCAAAACCGGCCTACATCCACTGATGAGAAGAGATTCCACTATGATTCGTAGCAATATTACAATAGAGTACCAACACCGCGTACATGCCTTTTCACCATATACTGTAGAAATATCTTTATTATAATTATTTTTATTTTTATTAGTTGTTTTTAGCCTTTTATTATGTGTTTTATGTAAGATCCCTATAATCATAGAATTGCGTAGATAAGATCCCTGTAATCATGGGATCCAGTAGATAAGATCCCCATAATCATGGAATCATGTAGATTTTGGCATATTTTATGTTTTTCTTTGATTTGGTTTCCTTTCTCAGTACCCTATTCTTGTATATAAATATAGCTTTTGGCTATTGGTTTGAGTAAGCCAAAACCTAAAACTTCTTTTTGGTATTACAGGAAAACAAAAACATTCGCTTCCCCATCTTCCTCCCCAATGCCGCCACCTTCTCTCTCCCTCTCACCATTTTCCCTCACCTGCGGTGCACCTCCATCTCCTCCCAACCCTTGCGCCGGACCCCTCAGGTAACCCTCTATTTTTTACTCCTTTTTCAAGAGAATTCCTTTAGGTTTTTTTATGATCTAAGGATCCTTCTGGGTGTTTTTTTTCTTTTGTGGGCCACCGATGTTTACTCGGCAGCATATTTAGAGGAAAGCGCCG